TTTAAAAAATAAAAAAGAATGGAAGCTAATATTTGACAAATGTATTACATGTATGGAGATTATTTTGATGCTGATAAAGTTGTTTTGCAAATTTGGGAAATTAGGATATTTTTGTTCATGTGAGTACACACAAAAATAAAGACTGTCACACATATTATATAAAGTTGAAAATAAGATGTGTTACTATATGTATGTGAACATTTGTTTAAGAGAGACAAGCTCTTTATAGGAAATGTATTATTCTCAACACCCTGTGATGGTATTTACCATAACACAATGAACCGAGACAAACCGGCAGTTGTGTGATGCTTTCAGCGGATCATCCTCAGGATGCAATCAGAGGAGAGAACTCAAGGTGTGGCTGCGCTCATTTAAGCAGACACACAGGGAAAGCGCCTCCGTTCTGTTGGACGCACGTCCTGGAACAGGCTCTGAGACCTGCTACCGCCTCCTGCTCACCCAGGAGCCATCACCGGACTGCAAGCCCCGGGTCCCTCACACTCCCGTCCACCAGGCCGCGGTCCCTCTGCACTGGGCTAGACAAGCAGCCCCACCTGCACAAGTCAGAGGAGGCCTGGACCCGACCCACCGACTGGACTTGGAGTGGATTTACCTGCTGCTCCAACGAGGTGAGTCATTTCTCTGAAATATCTGTTGTACACGTACACCTGGAAGGGTCACTGTATTGTTTCTCTACAGAAACTGGCTTAACACGCCATCTTTTGCCATTGAGGTGAATGTCAGTGTGTTCCCTCTGTTCCTGCTCCATCTCTGTGTGGAACGGGGTCCGTCTCATAGTGGCAGCCTGTTGCTTTGCTTAGATGCCAACGGACTGATTCTGACATTAGCACTGGTTCAACAGTGACCTCGTGCAAAGAGAATGAAACCCTGCCTAGTCGTGGACCATTCTCACAGTGGTGCCTGTGCTGGAGGCAGCTGTTGCAGTGGGAGTGCCAATCCATCTCCCCCGAGGCTTGCCTCCTCCTTCACATGGTGCATTCAGTGTTTAGTGGTCACGTGCTCTGAAGTGGGAGCCGCTTCCTTTTGTGTGGCCTGTTTTTGGTCTGGAAGTTCCGGTGAAACTTGTTCATTTGCAGTGAATCACGTGGCATTGGAAATCTCAGTGCCATAGCTTGAAGCATCACAGCAACAAGCAAGCCACCACAATACGACAGAGTGACTGACTAGCAATTGCTGTAACATTCCTCCCAGCCTCACATCCTGTCCTTCCACAGGCCTGCTTCCTACCTCCAGGGCCGAACCAGATCCTCTAAAACCTCTTCCTTTCGTGGTGAACAATATGAGTCTTAATGCTTATACATTGTAATGCTGCACAGCCACTATTGTGTCATGTAGTTGGGTGGCCAATAATCAGAATTCACTGGCAATTCATATGTTTATTAATGATTATATATCTTGTGATAATGAGAGACATGTGTATATGTGGACATACATGTGTGTGCATTATATA